AATTAGGATAAAAAACTACTGAATTATTTATTTTTAAGTTTTAGGAGTATATTAATATATATTTTAAGAACACTCAGTAACATTTTTTAATGAAAAACATTTATTATTTTTAGAGTTTCACGATATCTCCGAAAATTGACAAAATTTTGTGTCCGAATAATCACTTCGAAAAATACTGTTTACAGAAAAACGTACCTAAGCTGATTGTCTATATATTAGAAGGTCGGAACGTAAAAAATATTTAAAATTATAATATCATATTTTTCAAAGTCGATAATCTGAAATATGCACAAAATAAAAAAAGTTTTTTTTTTCGAATTTCACACTAGGTTCTTAAGATTCCACTTTAATACTCTGATCAAAGAAATAATCTAGATTAGGTTAAGTTTTTAAAAAATAGAAAATACAAATTGCCTTACGATTTAACTGTAAAATTTCTTAAAAGGTATCTTTTAGTATGGCAAGTTGAAGTTAAGAGAACACAATTGTGACATAAATGAAGGTAGGTTCGATTGTATCTCGATAGTATCCTCGTTGCTCTTCTTACATTCACTGCTGTTGTTGTTTTGGCATTTGAGGCAGGCGATAAAGTTGATTTGCATACACAAAGATTAATGCAAATAAGGCATTGCATACCCTAAAGTGTCTAAACACACTCCTTTTCACCATAATAGTAGATCCTTCTTCTGCAGTCAAATATTGTGCAATATCAAGCAAGAACAGAGCAGCAAAGCAAATATGTGCACTGAGGTTGAATGCATATGCTTCTATACATTAAGACGTACTGGTACATGAAATGACAACACTAAGTGAAAATTGTAGGAAAATTTTACTTAAAATGAATCATGCCAAAAAAGCTGGTTGCAGCTAAAAAAAATTTAAGAAAACTTTGTTATTGTTGCCCTTTGAAGTATCTCTCATAAAATATTTAAGTAGATTTATATCTACAGATTGACTTAAACAATTGATATTTTAAGTAGTAGAGATGACTTTTGTACACGAAATTATCCAGCTATTAACTGTCCTAAGTAATTTCTTTAAATAAAATCGTCGCCAGTACTAAAGTTTCTAGATTTTATGGATTAGAATGTAGAAACAAATTTGAGGGATTTTGAGTTTACCGAGAAGTAGGTTTCTGAGAGGATTATCTTTACACTACTTATTAAAGGTCGCAATATTCAAAACTAATATACACAAATCTATATATCCATACCATATATACGCTGGGCTTGAGTCAAAGGAATTTATAGAACATACAGCCGAAATACGAGTATTTACGAATATATATTTATAGATGTTTCTAAAGCTTGTGCAATATGCTTATGTCAAGTGACTCCAAATTATGTATTGCAATAAATGTGTGTTTATGTCCGTGCATAAATATTTTGCATGTAGAAGTATATTTTCTGTTTTCATATAATACTCTTAAAAATGCAATTCATCGCTATTAGCATCTTCCATTTTAGTAGTTTCGAATACTGAGTTTTAATAAAATTTCGCTTCTAGTGGGAATACTATCTGCATCTGTCCTCTCGACATTCATATGCGATGAAAAATATACTGTGCGCTTAAATATTCCCGAAATTTACTCTAGCTAAAGCACAAATTTATTTATATAGGAATACTAATATAAATACTGGTATACTTATACGAGAGTTGTAGATTGTTTGTAAATACTGACACTTTCTTCTGTCTCCATCTATATAATAACTTCCCTACAAGAACAGTGACAGTCATTTGACCGTTCATATGACAGTCACAGCTGAAAAAGTTTTGGGTACATATATACCCTATACATATATTTATATATGTACCATAAAGTACGTACATTTATATACCAAAAATATGTGTTCTTCTCTATTCATATTATAGTCGGTTAAAGGCAATTCATGCATAAACAAATAAATATTTACTCTTTCAATGTGCAAGTGTGTATTGCGTAGATAAAATATTTACAAAATTTCTTGGGTTTCTCAAATTTTACAAGTGAGTTAATTTAAGTAGCCTAAAGCTTAAAGAGTTAAATTCCAATTGCAGACTTAAATTATTTAAACTATATTTTTTAACCTATAGCATAATGATGGGAGGTATTTACTACATAAAGTTACATCAACACTTTTACTAACACATATGGTACCTCTATGTCTCTTTAAGTCATCATAAATCTTCTTTATATTATATATAAAAATGAAACCCGTTTATCGTCGTCACGCCATAACTTGAGAACGGCTAGACCGATTTGGTGATTTTTTTTTTGAAGTTTTCTAGTACTCTGGAAAAGGTTATTACGGACCCTCTCAGAAAGATTGAAAAAATACATTTAATTTTGCATATTTTAAAAAACGCGCGTAACAAATGTCATCGTCATTCAGAGCCATGGACTATATTGAAATAGCATCGTTTGTTCGGAAATATGGTTACTTAAATTTGCTATTAGTTGCTTTCTAAAGCGCGCGTGGTGTTGAGCTTAGTGAGCTTCAAAATGCCAAGTTGTTCGGTAACGATTTGTAAAAATGTAAGAGGAATTATGAAACCCTATGGAATAAACACTCTTATGAAAAAATATATTAATATATACTGTCAGCTATACAAAATATAGTAGTGCATCAAAGACGATATGACGGTACGAAGTTCGCCGGGTCAGCTAGTAATAAATAAATATTTGTGCTTTGTAATTCCATTTTTTAGTTAAATTTATAATAATACGGTTAATGATAGTTATTCTGGGTTTTGATGTTTGTAAAGGTAATGTGTTCAATAATATTTTCATAATAACAGCAAAAAATTTTACTACTAATACTAATATAGTCCACTATATTATTATGGTACCGTTAGTTAAAAAAATTTGTTATACGAATGCCCGTATTACCGATAAACAGAAGTGATGTATTAGTGCTGTAATTCTATGTATAATGGTTCTGTGCGGAATACGTATCGCGCACTACGTTCATTTTATCGTATGATGCATTAAAGAGCACTTCTGGTTGAATGGCTACGTCAACAAACAAAACTGCCGCATTTGGAGTAAAGCTAATCCTTAAGTGTATAGCGAAACACCGTTACATCCAGAATGACTGACTGTTTTGTGCGCTTTATGGGCTGGTTGCATCATTGGTCCGTACTTCTTTAAAAACGATGATGGCCAGAACGTTACAGTCAATGGTGATCAGTATAGAGCCATGATTACTAACCTTTTCATTACTGAATTGAACAGCCATGATATCCAGGAGCTGTGGTTCCAACAAGACGGCGCAACATGTCACACAGCTCGTGCCACAATGGATTAATTGAAAGACACGTTTGGTGACCGCCTAATTTCACGTTTTGGACCTGTGAATTGGCCTCCAAGATCTTGTGATTTAACACCGCTAGACTACTTTCTGTGGGGTTATGTAAAGTCATTGGTCTATGCGCATAAGCCACAAATACTTAATTATTTGGAAGATAACATTCGCCGTGTTATTGCCACAATATACGGCCACAAATGTTGGAAAAAGTCATTGAAAACTGGACGTCCAGATTGGACTACAGCCGAGCCAGCCGTGGTTCAATCATATTTAAAATGTAATACCACACTATTATCTTTCGGATAAATAAAACTCATGTCAATCGAATAATCCATCGTTAAGTCAAGTGCTCGTATGGAGAACTTTTTCATTTGACTACAACTAAAACTACAAACTGATCGGTCGAGGCAAGTTCTTGTATGGAATCTTTTGTAGTTGGGAAGGGTATTATAGCTATGGTGCAACTGAAGTAAATTTGTTTTTTGTGCGCTGAGTAAACTTTTGACATGTAATGACGCATTGCACAGTTCATATAGTTGTTTGAGCCTTACCCAGGCAAGAGAGTTTATTTCAGTCAACGCGATGCTATTTTGTTGGTCAGTTCGGCGACAACTGTGAGTCGTATCCTCGTAGCAATTTCAAGCTGTTAACAGTTTATGAATATCTGTAAAGCTTGGGTTTGGTTCATTAAGCTTGTCCGTCTGTATGGATAAAAGAGCTTGTGTACTGTGAATGAAATAATTTAGTTTCTTCAACAAAAATTCTCTTGACGTGCGATGTTAATATGAGGTTTTTTTTAATTGCAATATAGATCGGTTTGAAGGCTGTTCTGCTGTGGAATTAAGTGATTTCCAATTCTAGATGTTGATTTTAAAAAGTTATTAAATTTTTACAGTATAGTAACATATATAATTAATTATCTTTAATTGCATTTTTTTTTTCATTTTGAAATAACAAGTTTAATCCAAAGTATTTTGTACTAGTATTGTATAGTGTTATGTGCGTTCACATGTATAAACGCTCCATTTAGAAATACGGAACTGTGATCAGATGATTACATCAACGCCATTGTGCAGCTACCAGCCTATTAGCCACTTTGACAGACCATTGAATATGCTGTGAAATAATTGTAAAAGAAAAGCTGGAATAAATTTTAATTTTATTCAACCGCTGCTCAGTAAATTTTCCCACGCGCTAACTTCTTCCTAGTCTTGGGAGTTGTAACAGATCATTGTTCTTTCGGCGTCCACGCTGTAAGGTTGACAACCTTGATATCTGATGTTAACTGTAGAAACTGTTTGAAAACGAGGGAGAAACAGCCCAGTCTTTGTGAGATGAAGTCTTATAACATTTAGTAGTTCACTCTTTCAAATATCCCACTGGTGGGAATAGGAATTAACTGTCTTGCAGATTTATATTGCACTCAATTCTTTTTGTCGAATTATATGTCGGATAAAGGAGTTATTTATTGGAGCTTCAAAAAGGAATATTTATAGCGGTACAAGTGCGATCACCGTCTTGAGGATCAGCCATCAAACTTAACCTAACCCTAGTGTATAGTTAAAAATTCTCCCGATAAAGTTAGATTGCTTCCAGGCGGTATAAAGCTATGGGAAATCTGGTTAATCAGAATGCAAGCACCACCGTTTTAATTGCCTTGTTATTAGTGTTTAGGAAACATTTAAAATTTATGTTGTGTGGAAACTTACTTACCAAAATGATGGGCGATATGATCGCGCTCTTTTGATTCCACTGGCATACCACTAGCGTCACCTTCCTGATCAAAGCCATGTAGATCCATATTCATATTCTCCGTATCCACATTCTCCAAACTGCTACTACTGCCACTGCCGCCCCCAATACCATCGTGATAGTGATTTTTGCCACGCATTTCGATAGTGAACGTACGTCCGATGGCGTCACCAGCTGAGACGGTCATATGCGAGCAGTAGGCAAGCGGCAGTAAACTACCACCAACATCTCCGCCCTCGCCAAGCCACGCCCAAAAGTTGGTAACACAAATTGCGATAATTAATAACAAATTTTTTGGTATTTTACATTTCCGTTTCATTTTCAGTGTGTGTGTCGGCGGCGCTACAATCTTGGTAGTATTTATCATTAGTGTTACTCTTGCTCTTCTCGCTATTTTCGCTATCGATCTCGCCACCTTGGCGCGAATCGTTCGCATTTTGCGCTGCGCAAAAGCAGCCGTGCTCGTCGAGTTAATTGTTCTTGTCGCAAACAGTTTTTTTCGGACCATTTTAACGTTTCATACGCTGTGTATTTGCTGAAGTCACAATATTTAGACGATATTTGGCCATTTGCCATAACCGTTACAATTATTTGCATTTATTTACATCCACTGAGTGTAATTCACTAGTTTGCTGCTTCGCTGTAGGCGAAAATGATATGGTTCGCTGAGCTAGAGCTATTTTAGAGCTGTATTTTCGAAATACCGTCAATAAATGGATTATAACAATTTGTTATGGATTTGTACAACGGATTATCTCTTTCAGTTCTGATATATAATATATATATATATATATATAAATATATATATGTATATATTATATTAGGTCAAGTAAAGAGTTCGTTCGGTTTGTATCTAAGAGATGGCGTTATTGTTCATAGTACTAGTGTTACGAGTCGCATCATGTCATACTATACGGCGCGGAAAACCTGTTTATTCGCGCTAAAAGTTTGTCTTTGACAGTTTTTCGATTGATTGACTCAGTACGTTGTGAGCGCTCGTCAAAGATGGACACCAGCAAAGAGAAAATTCGCTATATTTTACAATTTTTCTTCGATTAAGGCGAAAAAGCAGCCAAAACGGCTGAAAAAATTAATTTAGTTTATGGGCCCGATACTGTAAACGAACGTGTAGCACAAAAGTGGTTTGCTAGGTTCCGTTCCGGTAATTTCGATGTCAAAGATGCACCACGCGTTAGGAGGCCTGTCGTCGAAAATTGCGATAAAATCATGGAAATAGTGGAAACAGACCGTCACGTGAGCACTTATTTAATTGCTGAGGAAATAAAGATAAGCCAGAAAACCGTTTGGATAACCTTTGATTCAAAAAGAAGCTCGATGTTTGGGTGCCTCACGAAGTAACGCAAAAAAACATGATGGACCGAATTTCCATCTACGAATCGCTGCTGAATCGCAACAAAATCGACCCGTTTTTGAAGCGGATTGTGACTGGCGATGAAAAATAGGTCACTTACAACAACATCGAGTGCAAACGGTCGTGGTCAAAGCTCGGATAAGCGGCCCTTAGTCTTTAGTCTTTTATCATCTTCAACCACTTTTCTATATCTTCATCTAACGGTATACATAAAATAAATATATACTATTGCAAAAAAATAAGCAACTTATTTCATAATTTTCAATATATAATAAATTTGCTATTATAATTTATTCTATAAAAAGCTTTAGTTGCGTTTCTTATTTGTTTCTATGCCATTTTTTCACGTAATTTGGAAAATCTTTTTTATTTTTTCAGAAAATGAGAATAGAGTTTTTATGTCAATTCATGCAATCAAAAATGAAGTTATTTTGGATTTGGAGATTTTTGGAGAATACTAGATTTTTAAAAATGTTGACGATTTCATTCTGAAAATTAATAAAATGGCCTTACTTTCGCTTTTGGATGCAATTCAAACAATTAAACAATTTAGGCCTTTTACTTCAAGGCAAAACATCTGGCTGTACAATTTTTTTGTTCTAGTGCAATATACGTTTTTGGGTAATAGATCTGATAGGCGTTAGAATGGGCTTTATATACTATTTGCAAAGATTTAACAACAGTGGTAGTTTTAAGTATGTTGGTAACGGTAAGTTCAGGTGAACCGAACAGCTTACAAAACTCTAACCATGTCTATGTAGCGCAATCTAATTAATTTACTAACAAAACAATACGAAAGCATAGGTACAAAAATGTCTGCTTTCATTTGATCACCCTCTGGACGCACTTTGGTAAGACGATTGATGCTTTCAATCAAGCGAAGTGAGTGGGTGTAACAGCATGTTGACATTTCACACTTTTACTTTTTGGCCAATAATGAATCTAAATTTTAAGCTTAAATGTTGTTTTAAAAAGTAAGTTGTTCAAACTAGTCGACAGCTTATATAAATAATGGGGCAAGTTGGAAGGACTTGCATATCTACTACGTAGTTTATTGCCTGGTGAGACATCATTAGTAGTAAGTTTGGTGTAACATTTTTATGTTCTGTGATGGTTGTAGTAGTGGGCGCATTTCGAATCGTTTAAGACTTTTTTTTAGTAGTTTGCGTAATATCTTGTATTATATTATTTCTTCTTTGGAATTTTTATATCTTCTTAAACGAATACGTATTGACCTTCCGAAACTGACCATAAAAACAAGAAAAATATAAACTACGACTGCATTGAACCTATAAAATCCTTCACAAATAAATAATTTTTATACCGGTTTTTTAGAGAGAACTTTAAATTGCAATAAAACAACGATGGATTATTCGATTGACACGAGTTTTACTAATTCGAAAGATAATCTTGTGGCATTACATTTTATATATGATTTCTGGCATATGACCGCCACGGCTGGCTCGGATGTAGTCCAATCTGAACGAATCAATTTTCGATGACTTTTTCCAACATTTGTGGCTGTATATCGACAATAACATGGCGAATGTTGTCTTCCAAATGGTTAAGCGTTTGTGACTTATGCGCATAGACCAATGACTTTACAAAACCCCACAATTCACAGGTCCACAACGTGAAATTAGGCGGTCACCAAACGTGTCTTTCAATTAATCGATTGTGGCACGAGCTGTGTGACATGTTGCGCCGTCTTGTTAGAACCACATCTAGCATTGTTCAGGCATGAGCCTGTTCATGATGAATTGCCAAACCAAACTGAGAAAAAATAACTTGACAGCTATTAAATCGGTCCCCATCTTGAACAGTAATGCCAACTTAAAGTTCTCTGGTATACCTCGAAAAAAACACCCGATAAGACCTTGACTTTACTCAGTGAGGTTGTATGGCTACTACATGCTTTAGTGGGCCGATCTGAACGAATTATTCAAAAATTTTAGCGTAGTCTTGTGCAAAAATGTATGCAAAATTTTGTAAAGATATCTCGTCAAATTAAAAATGTTTCCATACAAGCACTTGATTCCGATCTTTAAGTATGTGTGGTCAATACCTCTTTAGTGATAGGCTGACCTTGCATCTCTAAAGTCACAGTCTTGAAGATATATAAGAAACTTAATTTTGAAAGATAAATTAATGTATCCAAATATATGAAATAAATTATTATATTAGTTTTTGTTAAGCCACGACCCTACTTATGTTTACCACCATATAATGTAGGTGGCTCTTCTGTATGCCTGAATAAAACTCCTAATTTGAGTTCAGTAAAATCTATTTTGATCCAGTAAAAAGTTTATCCCATTTTCAACTAAAATTAATTAGCGAATAGTTCTTCGATTTATCCGCTACTTTATTAGTTGTGTACATTAAAGTTGTAATCGAAGATCCGTTTCTATAACAATCCATTCATATTTTAAACATTGAGATGGTATTCTGTATGGTAAATGTTTTGCTTGTGAGACTTTTAAGTTGTACGGGTGCGGTGTTTGTAATAAATGATGGCAAAATTTATTAGATTGGATTTTTGAACATTAGCTTTGCATATGCGATTCTTGAGATGAAAGTGAAGAGCTATGGAATGGTATTGTCTCATTATTAACTAAAAAACTAGATAAGGAAATTAATGGCTTAACAAAAGTGAAATAACGGTTAAAACTCAGATAAGGTTTATAATAACTTAAGTAGTTTGGTTTATAAATTTATGATGCGAGTTATTTATGTATGTAAACATAAAATACACGGGTCATGGTATACAAATTTGCTTATTGAATGCTACATGGGTCGTAATATTGTTTTATTTATATATATTTCGTTGCATAATAATGAAATACATGTATACCAAACATTGAGCACATTACGTTTCTAATATTATCTTCAATTTTTTAATAAGTATTTTTTTGCAAATGCATAACATAGGGACAACTTAGCATAGACGCTCTCATGCCTAATAAATTTCATGGCCAATGTTACCCATACGCACTGGTGGTAGTAGGTTATACGCTCACTATTCCGAAATTGATTTTCTGCATATAAATATGTGCATATATTGTTGTTAGAGTGTCTATGTGAGTGTTACCCCCCATTATCATTTGCTTATATCAATGCGTATTCATTTGCGATATCTATTAGCGGTAGCGGTCGAAATACGCTCGCGTACATTTCTAATCAAATTAGCATTTCGCTACTGAATATTCTCTTTTCCAACTTGCATCTAAAGGGTGATCCATTTCGAGGTTCCCTAAATTAAAAAAAAAAAAAACACTGACAATTCAAATCTGATAAGAAATGTATATTATCATTTAACAGAACATTCTTTTTCTCCTATTTTTTTAAGATTGTCGCTTTCAAATGTTGGCTACGGCTACGTCTCAGATGATTCATCCCTCGAGTTCAATTTTCGAAGACTCGTTCGAGCGTTTTGACCGGTAACTTGCGAATGACACGCATGTTGTTTTGCTCCAGGGCCTAAATAGAAGCGGGATTGTCCGCATAGACTTTAGAATTTACGTTTCCCTACAGGAAAAAGTCTAACGGTGTGATATCACACGATCTTGGTGGCCAATCGACTGTCCCAATACGTGAAATTATCTGCTCACCGAAGTTTATTCTCAATAAATCCATTGATTGATGTGATGTGTGGGAAATGGTGCCGTTTTGTTGACATCAAATGTCGCCGAGATCACGAGCTTCAATTTCAGGCATCAAATAGTCGGTTATCATGGCGCGATAACGGTCGCCATTGACGGTTACGTTCTCACCGGCATCATTTTTGAAGAAATATGGACCAATGATTCCACCGGCCCATATAACACACCAAACGGGTTTTTTTTCAGGATGGAATGGCAGCTCTTGAATCTCTTTAGGTTGCTCTTCGTCACAAATGCGGCAATTTTGTTTGTTTACATACCCATTGAGCCAGAAATGTGCCTCATCACTGAACTAAATATGGCTCGAAAACGTCGGATCTTTGTGGAAGAGCCCATAGAGCGAAGCGATGTCGCTTGGGAAGGTTGAGCGGCTTCAGTTCGTAAACAAGCTATATTTTGTACGCTTTCAATTTTAGATCTCGACGTTCCATACGTCAGTCCAAGTTGCTGCGAATTGTGTGATATCACACCGTTAGACTTTTTTCTGTGGGAATAAAGTCTCAAGTCTATGCGGACAATCATTTTTGTGATATTAATATTTTTGTAAAAATGTAGGAAACCTCGAAATGGATCACCCATGTTTAAATACCCAGTAAGACCAGGGAAACCAAACGCATAAGCAATATTCTGATTTTAATCTGAATAGTAAGATACTTCAAGTGGACATTATAGGAACTAATTTTTGTTTCAGGTCCTGACAAATTCCTTACATTGCAGTTAATTAATTCTTGATCAATAAATCAATCAAGTTTCACCTCAAATTAATAAAAGTAAATTGCAGTCACAATATATAATATGTTAGCGCGATAGTCGAATATTTTATATAAATTGAATTTCACTCTTATAAACATATTTTTGCGTTATTGAGAAGATGCTCAAACATACAACCACAAACACGAGTGGTTTTATGTATTTTTTTTGGTAAACAAGGCACTGATAGAATAAGTGAATTGCCTGAATACCAATAATATGAATACCTGAATAAAATATTGCACAAAACAACAACAATACATGCACAACCTTTGGTATTTCGCTCGTATATCAGCTAAGCTGCGCCACACATTTTATCAGACGAGACTCTAGTATAAAGCAGATCTTTTGTGGCGACAAGCAAACCCAAGAGCGACAATCAGTTTGTTAGCTGTTTGACAGTATTGGCTATTGGTATCTTCAATACGAGGGCTGGAGTTGCAAAAGTTTATGTGAATCAAAATTAAAAACATCTCAAATATTTTTAAAGAAATTAACTGAGATAAGGCGATTGGAAGTAGGTTACCCACGCACAACGGTTGCTAACTCCAGGCAGTTGGTAGCGACAAAAATTTTAAATGCCAATAATGTATTTATAAATAGTTTTTATTATACCTTGAACAGAATATACTCAGTTTGCCACGAAATTTGTAATACCAAGAAGGAAACGTCACAGACCCTATGAAAAAATATATATATAAATGATCAGCATTATAAGATATGAGGCCACTAAAGCAGACGAGTATAACTGTCATTCAAACTGAACGATCGGATTCCAGTGCTGGTATGGCAATTTTGTCGAAATGTCAGCAAGCATAGTCGAATTGTCCCCGTCGTATGAGAGTTCATTAGTAATTACTTAAGCAGTCATGCCTGCTAATCTAAAAATAGTTTTGCTCACTTTTCGATTTAAAAACACTCTACCATATATTTCGCAGTCATGCCTGCTAATCTAAAAATAGTTTTGCTCACTTTTCGATTTAAAACACTCTACCATATATTTCGGCTGTATTAGAGACGCACGTTCCTACGATAGCAGATAACGGATATTGAAGTCGTAGAACTTTGTAGTTAAAGCATTAGAAATTTAAACACAGACGCAAACACAAGGAAATAAACACGTGGCAGCAGGTAGCAAAACAAGAAAACAGCAAACACTACTCTTTATAGACAGTATTTTCTAAGTACGTAAGTTTGCAAAGGAAGTGCGCTTAACTAACTAGTGCCAGCGTTCGCCAAATGCCAAGCGTGCAAAATATATGAAAACGGAGCGGATACTAGATTGAATTTTTCGGCGCTCAAGGCTTTCTTTCTCTTAATGAATAGCACAAGTGAATAAAACATAAAATATAGATAGCACAGCATGTGCAGCAATGGGATTTGTTTCTACACATTCTCAGCTTAGGCCATGCGTTACTTAAACACTCTTAGAATACAGTGGAAAAACATAGGAATGCAGTTGGTTACGTATACGCCATGGTCTTTCCACAAGTTCCAATGGCTACTATGCTGCACAAAAATACTGTACTAGTAAACAAACTATGCTTAAACACTATCTGCCAATACACTAACTGCTGTTTGTTCTTCCCTTTTATACACAATTAAACGTTGTATTTCTATTACTGTTGCTTTTGGCAATTCTTCACTTCCCAGGAATCATTATTTTAGTTATGAACAAAAACTTGCCAACCATAATAAAATTAACTAGATTGAATGAACACTGAATAATAAAACAATCAGTGTGTTCTCTCGTGCTTATGCGACGGTATTTGTATTCACAACACAATTTTCTTGGAATTTGGGTCATTAAATTATAGTATTTATTTCAGATAAGTCGATGAGAAAATTTTAATTAAACCAAGAAAGAATTTTTATTTTCACTAATTTTATTTAATAATTTTATAGGATTATTCCCCTACATTTTCACTAGAACAAGCCACCTCACACTAACTCTTACACTAGTCCTACCTTTATGATTATGTTTTATACTATATGGATGAATCAATCATCCAACACATATTCGCACACCTTCTCGCAACCTGTTGCTAAAGAGTATAATAGTTTTGTTCACCTAACAGTTGTTTGGAACACCTAAAACTAATCGAGTTATATATATGTTTATATATATATAAATCATCAGGATGAAGAGACGAGTTGAAATTCGAGTGACTGTCTGTCTGTCCGTCCGTCCGTCCGTGCAAGCTCTAACTTGAGTAAAAATTGGGATATCTTTATGAAACTTGGTAGACATATTTTTTGGTACCGTAAGACGGTTGGTATTGCAGATGGGCGCCAATAATCAAAAAAAAAAAAATAAATTGCCATAACTAAGCTCCACAATAAGACACAAGACTGTTATTTGGTATCCAAGATCAGATAAGGGAGTGGCGTCAAATGCAAATCAAGCGAAATATATAAGGTTGTCATATACCGCTTTTTTGCTCTTCATTCAATGCTTTATAAAAAGTGTTACAGTGATCGGATTTAGTTAAAATATGCGCCGTTTTGTTCGATGATCTGTTTCCATCTAGACGACAACTTCATAATACCTTCCTCGTAGAAGCCCCCTCCTTATTTGCGAAGAATTCGGACAGCCACTTTTCACAAACCTCTTTTGAGTTCAACTTCACACCACCAAGGGCATTCGCCATGGACAGGAACAGGTGGTAATCACTTGGCGCTACGTCCGGGATATATGGTGGATGCGATAAAACCTCCCATCCGAGCTCTCGTAGCTTCTGACGAGTCATCAACGAAGTGTGTGGTCTGGCGTTGTCCTGGTGGAACACTACACCCTTCCTGTTGGCCAATTCTGGACGCTTCTGGTCGATCGCCTGCTTCAAGCGGTCCAATTGTTCGCAGTAGATGGTAGAATTAAGCGTCTGGCCATATGGGAGCAGCTCATAGTGGATGATTCCCTTCCAATCCCACCAAACACACAGCAAAACCTACCTGGTCGTCAATCCCGGCTTGGCCACTGTTTGGGACGATTCACCGGCCTTTGACCACGACCGTTTTCGCTTAATATTGTCGTATGTGATCCATTTTTCGTCGCCAGTCACCATCCGCTTCAAGAATGGGACGAGTTCGTTCCGTTTCAGCAGCATATCGCAGGCGTTGATTCGGTCCAGAAGGTTTTTTTGCGTCAAATTATGCGACACCCAAACATCAAACTTTTATTTTATCCAGCCTTCTGCAGGTGGTTCAAAATGGTTTGGTGACTAACTCCCATCTCCTGGGCGATGTCACGAGATGCCATATGCCGGTCTAACTCGATGTATTCCATGATTTGATCGGTATTTGTCGTCACAGGTCTTCCGCCGGCTGGCTTATCCATGGTGTCGTTTTCACTTTAATCACCATTTATTTCTCGGAAGGTTTCTCTAGCGGATTTGCATTTAACGAAGGAAAACTTTAAAATGGCGCGAATTTCGGCGTTAGTGAACTCCATGTTTACACGTCTATAACTGTTGAACGCAATATCAAAACTAATCATGCATAGCGTTGTTTTGTAGGTTATGTCAAGACCTTTCAAATTATGTATAGTGTTGCCAGATACGAGCTCTGTAGCGCTTTGTACATAGCCGCGAAATTCAAAAGACAAAAAAGCGGAAGGGAGATATATGACAACCTTATATAAAGAAATCTCAAACGAGGATACCATTTGACTTCGCGAGGGTATAAAATGTTCGATTACATTTTATGTTCACACTTATAAATAAAATTGTATATCAGTAATTCAAATATTTATTTCGTAGTATTAATTTCAAATAAGTACAAAAGTAGTTTTGATTTTGGCAATTTTGTTTTTTTGTCATCTAATATTTAAAATATTAATGTTACGTTACGTGTGTTCCAAAAAAGGGGAAATTTCGTTTTTTGAAGAAACAAATATTCATTCGGCTACACTAATTTGTCGTCTTCAAGATAGTTCCCATCGCCAGGTCAGCCCTTCTTCCTATCCCCGAAACACTTTTCGAACTCTATTTTTGGGATAGCATTTAGCTTGTAAAACCGTGGCCCTTAAAGTTCTCTTTTGTCTGGAGGATCGTGACAACTGATTTTAAATATGTTATTATCTTAAATATAGCATATAAATATGCTTACTTTTTTCTTTTTTTTGTAATTTTAATTATTTTATTGTATAAATATTTTTATGCACTACTGTATCAACGATTTTTATTTCATTGTTTTCCTGTTCAACTTTTTGTCTCGTAATTACTATATTTGCACATAAATTCACACTATTCTACTTTTTTATCGTATTTTTTCGCATTTGTTATATTATTTTGTTTTAATATATTTTTAATTTTATTGTTTTTCCTCATATAATTCGAGTTTTTAATTACTAATATATTTAATATCAATTTGTTCATACATCTTAACTTTACATATTTATATTAACACAACGATTATTTAAATTACTTTCTTTCTTCACATAACTTAGCAATAAAAAACTAACACGTCGAAATACAGCTGCTCAAGCATATGCGCGAAATAATGTCGGATTCAACTTTATATAGCACCACACATATATTATATTTTCATCTTTTTTGGACTACGGAATTTTTACCGGTTTTGTGCTTGTATTCTCAAGAATAGCCATGTACATATATGTACACTAAGCTTAAGTTAAGCGCGCGTTCGACAAAATACTACTCCAACTACACAACCATTAACGACGAAGTCGAAAGTAAAACTAAACTAAATTGTAAACGACACACACTGATGATACGAGAAAATTGCATTTTCGAAGTCGTCCTATCGGCCAACCAACGAAGTACGAAAGCTTCTAGTGATAGCACTGCTGAACAAAACTTCGAAATCATAAACGAAGCATCAATTTGGGCATACGAAGTCTAGAATGTATGGTATTTACAACAGTGTATGTGTATGTGTGCAGGAGAAATGCTGCTTCGTTGGCTAACCAACGGCGAATGAAATTTGTCGAAAAGCGTTTACAAATCACGAAGCGGCGCTTTGTAAACCGACGCGTTCTCACCTTCTCGTCAGATTCATTTACTTGGAACAATAATATTTTGGTTATCTGGGGTATTAATGATCGGTACAGTAAAAATTACTTTTTGAGATTATATAAGGTGTTCGAAAAAATGGAGAGCGTACAGAAATTTCAACCTAAGTGAGTACAAACTTAAGCCGATTTGAGAGAAGAGAGTTTTCAGCGATTTTTAACATAAGTATGAACTAAAGCCGATTTTGTATTAGAATAAAGCTTACAGCAATAAATAAATTTAACAAGATTAACTTCGTCAATTGCTTAAATGTTGAAAGCTTGGACCATGAACAAGTGGATATTATCAACAGTAGTAAGTTAAACTTAAGCCGATTTTATGTAAGAGTAAAGCTTACTAGCAACCACTAGATACATATATGGAAAGTAGTTTCGAAAATTTCTAAAATAAAGGTTAACAGCATGAGCTTGCAGAGAGCTAAGGATTATGATTACTTGCAGTATCTAACTGTATGGAAAGTAGCTTTGAACTTTGCTAATATTTTAACAACATGAGCGTGCAGAGTGTTTGTACAGATTTTTAACATTAGTGAGTCAAACTAAGCCGATTTTGTATGAGAGTATGGAGAGTATTTTCAAAAAATGCAAAATTTTTTTAATTTTAACAGAGTGAGCATAAAGAGTGTATATAGATTATTTTAACAGTAGTAAGTTAAATTTAAATCTTAATTTTGTATAAAAGTAAAGGTTACTAACAAAGAATAAATGTATGTAGAATTATTTCGAAACGTCCTGAAATATTAAAGGCCAGGCTCGTGCTCTTAGCCTGCAGAAATTTATAAGTGAGTATAAAATTTAACCAATTTTGTATAGGAGTAAAGGTTGCAAGCAATTAATAAATGTATGCAGAGTGATTTCGGGTAAGAAATATGCATGAACATATGCATCGCCTAACTTTTTTTCCTTTCTCTATATTAATATTGCTCAACAGATGGAGATTTCTTTCACTTTAAGTAAATAAATCATTCCTAATCTTACGGCCTCCCGTATTTACACAGCAAGAGGCTTTGTTTAATTTAACTTTTACATATAATATTTGAGTTAATAATATTTTTACTTTTTAAGACAATTGAATTGCAGTGAATAATTCACCTCATCAGATAAGTAATTCTTCCTAATCCTTAGATGGAACGCATAACATTTTAGCCTGTAAAAATTTCCTGCAATTGAGTTACTCTTAACAGTTCTATTGGATAATGAAAAGTTTTCACTGCTTATGGATAGCTCGATATAGTAGATGAAACTAGCATCTATCGCTACAGTTATGCTCTAATTATCATAATAGCTCTATTAATACTAATATATTTCTGTTCTAACTGGACTTTTGAATTCAATACTATACTGTTAAGTTTATAGACGTCATATCTTCCACTGATATATAATATAAAGATAATAAGAAAGTATATCAAGCAAGACAAGTTTTATATACATATGCCGTTTATACAAATGCTCTGATGAATTTATATATAATATACTCATAAAATTACCTATATAAAAATAAATAAGCTTAATGTAGGTCAGTTTTGTTTACCAGTCATTACCGTTGTGAGAGAATTACACTCAATGAGAGTGCGATTGTAAAAAATCAGATATTTTTTCCAGAATGCTAAGTTGGGGAGAGCTCTTGTGAGTCACATGTTCACGTCAACTCAACACTTTCATGAAGATGAGTAATTGAGTAAAAAATCGAGATTTCGCTAAAGTAATATATTTAGAAGGAATATTTGAGAGAAGGATAGTCTCAACAAGCACGCGCATGTGTATGTACATGTAAACGAAATTTCAAAAAGCGTTTAGAGCTTCGATTTATTGCTTTTATCAGTTAGTATCAATGTCTGCATATATGAATATGTTTACTGCGGTCTTATAATTTACGATGTTAATATTTTCTGCATTTAAAAAGAAGCAAAGCAAGCAAAGAGAGAGAGCAAGAGCATTGGCCGTTGCTAATAAAGCATTTCTAATGCGGCACAGTTGGATATCTATATGTTTTGCAGTTGGCCTTCAGCCAAAAATAAACAAAAACGCATACCCCTGTTACGAATTATTTATAAGGTGCCATTACGAATACGCTACAAATAGCCTAAGTTGGTCATTTCTACTGATTTTATAACTAAAGTAAAAAATTTAATTAAGTAAATATTAAAGGGCTAAGTTTGGATGTAACCGAACATTTTATACTCTCGCTAAGTCATACGGTATCCTCGTTTGAGATTTCTTTATATATTTCGCTTGATTTGCATTTGACGCCACTCCCTTATCTGATCTTGGATACCAAATAACAGTCTTGTGTCTTATTGTGGAGCTTAGTTATGGCAATTTTTTTTTTTTGTTTCATAAAGATATCTCAATTTTTACTCAAGTTGCTCGGACCGACGAACCCTCTATCTCTAACTCGATTAGTTTTAGGTGATACAAACAACCGTTCGGTGATCAAAACTATTATACTCTGTAGCAACAGGTTGCGAGAGTATAACAAACCAACATCATTGTTCATATAAATTCAACAATCAAATGCAAAATGATAAAAGCAACCAAGGAAAAAATGACCATACATGAAGCAAGGTTATATAATTTGTTCCCGCTAAGCGCCGGTCCCATACCACCGAATAAAATATAACCTTTCGGTTGTACTTGTTGCGGCTGTGGCTGTTGTTGTAGATGTGGTGATAATTCTTATCAGTTTTGGAACCTGTTGCTTTTACGCTACGCTGTCGTTGCATAACTTCACTTGACGAATTGTGGGCAGCTAAAGAAGTTAAGCACAGCTGCGTGAGAAATTAATCCAATGGGAAAGTGTGAAAACAAGAGGCAAAAAGAAAGAAGATAAAGTAATAACAAAGAAGCCGCATTATTGAAATTGTGGAATTTAAAAATTGTAACGACGTGTGGAAAACACTTGGGAGATAGAATAAACACATGCGTGTGTGCACAATTCTACGCTTGGCGGTTCTGTGTGACTGAAAAAAAATAAGTAAACCACTGGCAGCACTTTTCAAAGAATTTTCCAGCAAAACGAATGGAAAGATAAAAAGGAGAAGCAAAGTCAAAATTAAATTAAAAATCAAGTAGAAGCATAAAATTTGTCGTGAGAAACTAACAGACAAAATTAAGATGTCAGTTTGCAGCAACAAGGGAATCTGTTGATTGATGTAACTATATGAATGCAACATAAATGTTACTTGCTTAGATAGTTGGGTGAATAGGGATGGTATTCTCTTCCAGGTTTAGATTCGGTTCGGTAGGAACATAACAATTGAGCTCGTATAATCTCGTCTACCACTCTATATGAGGCTTATTGATTATATTAATTTATACAACGTGATCTTACAAAAAATAAGCTACAACTTGTTTGAATTTGTTGCCTATTTATCTCCATATGTTACAAGTTCAGAAGAAATATTTTAGAAATGATAGGAAAATATTCTAAATATCTGAAGTATTCCCGGAGTACTTACCGCGATTGTACCACTATACCACTTAATTAAATAATATGATTAGGTTTTGTTTCTAGTTTCAAAAGATACTTGGAACTCAAAAACATTTCTTCACTGCTTAACTTGCCACTTTGCATTGAGTTTATCTAAAAGTGACCCATTAATAGATTCCATATTAGAAAGTTGCCATCAAAACTAAGAAACTCGCAATTTTATTAAAGCATCTGAGTTAAACTCCTGAACTAGCGTTTGGTTATCATCAATGAAACAAGCGCAATTGTGGAAACATATCTACACATCTCGCTTTTGGCAAATCAATTACCAAGGAGCGTGAAATACCTAATTTTGCGCTCATTAAAACACTCGCCAGAAGCATTTTCACATGCAAATATACACATGTGTATACTTGAAATACATACATACGCGCACAAATATGCATAGTTGTACGACAACCTTGCTGCAACGTAACCACAGACCTTTAGGTGAAATTGAAACCATCGTAGATTGTTGCTGCAAATGCAACAGCAACATCAAGCACACTCTCGCCATGCCTGCGGTGTCAACAGATATGAAAGCACTTTTCTTAGTTTTTTTGATTTCAGAAAACATGTATGTAAAAATTTTCACACGCCACCATGGCAAATGAGCAAAAATCTACCCTCCAGCTCACAGATACCTACTGAAACTGCTACTTCCACGCAAAATGGAATTTGTTGCTTGTTTTATCGTTTCTGATTAAGCACTACTTAATATTTCTATATACTTCGGAGGTCACATTATTTCCTAATAATAATTCATGCCAAATTTCATTAAGATACCTCGAAAAGGAAAGAGCTTTCCATAAAAACACTTGAATGCGATAGTTCAGTTTGTATGGCAGCTATATGCTATAGTGATCTGATCTGAACAATTTCTTCCGAGATTACATTGTTTCCTTAGGCAATAACTCGTGCTTAATTTTTTAAAGATCCCTCGTCAAATGAAAAAGCACTTTACTCCGATCGTTTAGTTGTTATTTTGCCTTTGGAAATTTCATTGTTACATTAAATAATAATCTATGCCTTAAATAATAATCTTACACCGCTGCATATGGTAATCAAACAGACAACCAAACAGACTCTGCTCCAAACAACAACAGCAGAGGGAGTTGGCAGAGGGAAGATCGTCCCAGTAGATGAAGGCGCTAAGTGAGGAAATGCCACTGGCCCTTCTCCCAATGGACAACAATTCTAAAGTAGTAAGCTTCACTAAGAAGTTAAAAGTTACCCTTGGCAGCAAGGCGGAATGGAGTGATTCATCACTGGACCTGCTGCTAAGG